GGGGCTGTTAACAGAAAAGGAGAAAACTATTAGTTTTCTCCTGGTACTGTGAAACACTCTTCTGTATGTTATTCCATAAAAATTACTAATATTTATCACAGGAAACAACCCACTTTGAAGGTCTTAGAGTAACTGTGGAACATATATACTAATATGATGTTCTTTACATAACATTCCTACATGGGAAAGAGAATGTATTCCTTGAGTTCATTCCAGTAGTTTTGTTGGGTTCAAGAGCACTGAATCCAATACTTTTGTCTGCCTGACTCCAACTGTGCCTATAAGCCAATTAGTATATTTGACAGGCCACCAGAGATAAGGCGTATAACCTTCCCCAAACAGACTATGTTGAAAATGAAGTGGCCTTGTCCTTGGCCTCATCAGTATAATTGGACTTAATTCTGACTGGAAGGCCTACATCCTGTTTCAAAGCTTTATCCAAATTACACTGTCTATGGACAAGGCTGAGGATTGCAAAAGCAAACAACTTGCCCCAAATCACACAGCAAATAAAGGGAACTGTCTGCATTCCAACTCACGTCTAACTGATTTCAAGGCCTAACCCTCCCACTGTTATACCAGTGTCAACCTGTGTTCCCCTGAGCAATGGGAATGGTCCCCATTCTCAGGGCACTGCGTGCAAACACATCAAGAACACCATCGAATGTCCTGGGAGCAGTAATACACTAAGGGTGGTGCAAAGCGCTATAGAATCACAAAGGAGAACACAGCTACCACTTTGGGAGTCCCTAACGCTCAGCGGACATTGTGCTAAACCCTATAAATATCCTTAAAACTATGTGAAATACAAATTAAGCCCATTTCACCAACTAGTAAACTGCTGCATGGAAATGACCCAAATTATACAATTACTAAATAACTGCATTTGGCCCCAGTGATCCTGAGAAGCTGCATGCTGCAGGAAGTAGAAAAATGCAGACTTTGTCATCACCAGACTGGGGCTAACATCTGGCTCTGATGTATGTTAATTCTGTCACCTCCTGGAAGTCGCTCAGCCTTGAGGAGGGCTGTCTAAAAACTCCCTGCCGGGCCACCGCGCCCCTGGCGCCGGGGTCCCTGCCTTCCGCCGCCCGGTCACCGAGCCCGCCCACTCCGATCCCACCGAGCGGAGACCCCGCCCCTTCCGGGAGCCCGCCCGCACGTCTTCCTCCAGCCCGCGGGCTCTCACCTCTCCAACTCCGTCACCAACATGGGGGCTCCACAGCGAAGGGACTTGTTCTTGCGCAAGCCGCACGTCACTGCGTGTAAAAACATGACTGAACTCTCCGATCCACGGGCACGACGTGCCAAACGGGCCAAGAGCGGCCGTCCGGCCGCCCGCATCTCTGCAACTCAAGCGCCCTGGGGACGAGGACCGGCCTCTTCGCAGCCTCCGCCTCCGAGCTCGCGGTCCTCGCCCGCGAGACCTCCCCCAGACAAGAGTAATCGATGCATGGTAGCACGCTCGGGCATCCGCCCGGAAATCGCAGCTCGAGCCGCCTGGTTCCGGCACGCGGGGGGATTTAGAGGTTTGCGTTCCCAATCGCCTTTACCGCCTAACTGATGGGGAAACCGGTACCTCCCGTGTTCCATCTCAGGACTAACGTCTTAAAACACTCCCTGGAACTCGATAAAATCAGCCAAGGAAAAAAGTTATTTTATTAAAGCTAGTACTCTAGCCTCTCGCTATTTGTGGGATGGGGAGTTGGCCAGCTTAATTTTTTAAAAAATGTTTTTTTAAGTGCTACGAAAGGTTAGGTTGATTGGTAGCAAACGGCGCACTGTCTTGCTATACTGAACCTTTAATGCTAGTGTTTTACTGCCAGTTAGCCCTTAATCTTAAATCATTTATGAATGCCTATTTTCCACTCATTCAACAACCGTCCAGCACACCTTTTTGCGGGTCATTAGAAGGCTTAAGGAGAACACAGATGAAAAGATATACTAGCCCTGCCCTAAATTAGCTGGCAGTTTAATGGGGAACACAAATGTATGCCTAAAGTACATGGGTAGCTTAGGAAACAGACCCCACATGGGTGGTTGGCCAGGGTGAGTCAGAGAAAGCCTCATCTATCAAGTATTATTTGAGATGACGTAATAGTAGAGAGTGCAGGTGACGTAGAGTAACATTTCCCACGGTATCCCTGAAATCTTTCCATCTGTCCTTGCCTCTCTATTGCCACTGAAACACATCTGGTTTATTTTATTCTTTCCGTCTGTTAAAGTAGCCCCTAAGTGGTCTCCACAGGAGAAATTCCTAATCTCCATTAACACCCATGTCTACAGGGCTCTGGGGTCAAATATGGAAAGGAAAAAAAGGGAAGAAACCTCATGGTAATTTTCAAGTCTTATCTCTGACACTGCTGAAAGTTACCTGAAAGATATAAATGATGACAGGATTCTCCTGCTTTTGCCTACAGTATTCATTCTGATTTTCTTAGCAAGGAATTTCAGGCCTTTTGTAATAATAACTTTGACCTGATTCCTGCTACTATCCCCTTTTCACTCCAGACTCCATCCTAGAGGAGACATCATTCCCTGAGCGTCCCATGAAGTTTCACAACTTCAAAATGCAGCTCCAGGGAGACCATGTTCATGAAACCTCCCCTACTCTGCAGGCAATGTATATTAATCCCTCCTCGGAACCTTTAGCGCACATATATAACAAAGCACTTATTGTAATCTATTATTTTTTATTTATAAAGTCAGTGCCTTTTACTCTATAGAAGAATATAAGCAACATGAAAAGAGGAGTCTTACTGTTTGAATGCCCAGCATCTAGAAAGTCCCTCGTAGCAAGTGTTCAATGTTCATTAGACGAATGATGATCTGGATGATTTTAGTAAAAGCCTATGACATTGCCTCGATCAGGTGGGTGCTGTGAAGGAGTTCTGAAGCATGCTTTGTTCAATGGCAATTTCTTCCCTGTTTTAGAAAAAAGATAGCTGGAGTGAGCCAAAGAAGGTAAGCCAAGGCCTTAAGGCTTCTGACTCTGTTGTCCATTAGAGGAGCTTGAACTATATCAGTGGGGCCTGTTTAACATCTTTGGAGTTGTACACTTAGACTAAGCACACTCTCTAGGACACAAAAATCGACAGTCACTGCAAAAGGGCTTAATAAGTGTTGGAAAATGTTTCTGGAATTTCAGCACAGGATTCAAAACAATCCTCTTCATAGGTGACTCCCCAGCTGGCTTTAACTTTACTTCTTGCACTGCCTTGTGCCACATCTCCACATTTCACCTGTTTCTTTGAGATGTGAAACGTAAGAACAGTTGAATGAATTTGACTCAAGTCAGATTCATGCCTCAACCCAGTAGCCAGAGAGGTACTTGTATGTAAGTCATATCATGTCATTCTTCTGTTCAAAACCCTCCAGTAGCACACCATTCCCTTCAGAGAAAACCCAAAGGCCTTAAAATGGCCAACAAAGCCAATGATCTGTCTCTGCCCTTCTCCCTTTACCTCTTAATTTATCTCTCCCATTATTCTCCCCTGAATCACTTGACTTCAGTCCTACTTGCCTCCTACATTTTTCCCAACTCAGGGCCTTTGCACTGGCTGTTTTCCTCTGCCTGGAGCCCACATATCCCAGATATCACATGGCTAACTTCCTTCCTTCAGATGTTACTCAATGTCATATCAATGAGGTGTACCTGAGCACCCCATTTAAAACAGACTCCCAAGTTCTGTCATCTTTCCTTACATTTACCCCAGTAACACTCATCAATTTCTACCATAGAATTTACTTACATGTTTATTATGTAATATCTATATCTGGCTACTAGACTATAAGGTCCGTGAGGGCAGGAATCTTTTTCTATTGTTGACATTGCCGTATTCATAATGGGAGACTGTCGCCTGGCTTATAGTAGTCACTCAATAAACAGCTGTCACATTAATTAATCCTTGCCATCTCTTTTCTGCTAGAATTTGCCCAAATGGAAACCCCCTGATCTGCCTGACTGGGGACTTCCTAACATTTTATTCAGTCCAGGATCTGTAATGTTTTTGCTGCCAATAAGGCACTTTGTGCCTTTCCTTAGACTAATAAGGTAATAAACAAAAATTGATCAGTGGTTGTTTTGCAAAATTCCCACAACTGGGGACCGTATTTAAGACATCCTTATTCTGACTAGACTCAGAGTATAAATGTTTGCATTTCTAGTTTTTTCAAATAACTTATTTTCGTACTGTAACCCTTATGCCTATAAGGAACCTAATCGCTAGCACCCAGGTGTATTTTTCTGCATTGTAACATATCATAAAACTGACTTGAGCAAAGAGGCTGGAAACTGAATTTGAATCTGATATCCATTAGTTGATGAGATCAAAGAGAACTTAAGTGAGCTATTTCTTGTGCAGAGTTCAGTGCAAATCATGATGAATCAGCGTGTCTAACCTTTTAATTCACCTGGTTTTTATTTCTTAATTCCTAGAAATAGGAATTAAGCTCAGGTTAATTCCCATTCCCAGAGAAACACATTATAATTTGGCTCAACCATGGTAATATAATTCCTCACACTAGAGATCACAGACCAAGCTGGAGCAGCCAAGCCTGCCCTGCTCCCAAATATTGGAGGCAGGCAGCAGAATCCACCCTGTGAACCTTCAGAGACTCACTCCCCTTTAACTGACTTGTCAAGTGCCAGGAATCCAACCTCCAAAAGAGAAGAGCCCTTCTATGCTGGTACTTTTCTTCCAGTCCCCTTCCCCCCAGCCTCTTTATCTACCTGATGCAGCAGCCCTGGGCTTTGAGAGATGTATTCATAGAGGTGGTGGGTGGTCTGGTGACGGCAATGTGAAATGTAATTTAAGAAACCAACTCCTTTGGGGTTTTGGGGGGACATTTATCATAAGAGATAAGGGAAGAATAAATTGTTACAGGACTTTGATTTCTGGGGATATAGATTGGGACATGAAATGAAATAAATGTTTATCTGGGTAATACAACTTTAAATGAGTTTATTTCATGATTGTTTCACCAGCTACAAGCAGTTCAAAACTGAACCCTCTCTTTTCCAAGTTTTCATTGCTCATGAACAGAGAGGAAGAAATGGGGCTCGGGATTTGGGAGTGGAGCCAGTGTGTTGGAGGGTAAAAGGTGGGAATGCGGTTTTCTACCCATTACATGTTCCAGGAAGACTCTCCCCTGCTCCACACAAGGGGCACAGTGGCACAAGACAAGATGACCTCCCTGTGAAATCCATTCCCTCCTTGGGACCTGTGGTCTGACATAGATCTGGGACAACCCTGTGATCTACTCTAGCCCCCAAACTCAGTGTTGTATGGTCTTAGCTCGCCCTCTGGTGGTGTCAGTCAGTGACTACAAGGCTTTCCCACACCAGGATGATTTCTGTTGAGAGCACAGCTGACAGTGGCCCAAAGTTAAGCCTCTCAACCTTTTAGCCCTCCAAGTCTAGTCTCCACTCGTGATCTAGAGGAAATAAAAACCCCCATTTTATAAACCTTTGTCCACTTTCATTCTGTCATTTGGTAATGCTTCCAGCAGGTTAAACATTGTTTACGTTCAAAAGGCAGAAAAGAAACCAGAGAAAATTATTTTACTGAATTATTTGAAGCAATGGCTTAAGACGGAATGTTTATCATCTGTAAACACATTATTTTCCATCTACTAGTCAATAATAATAGTAGCCACTACTTTACCACCTATCTTTGCCTGATTAACACAGACAACTACAAAACTCCCATTCACGGATGAGGTGACTGAAACTCAAGTGGGTTATATAGCTTGTAAGATTACACAGCTTTGCAATCTGTCAGGTCTATCAGTTTGCATGGTTTCCCACTGCACATTGCTGTTTGCAGAAGGGACATACAAGATCACTTAGATACATCTTTCCACACGAGATTAATTGCTATTAATTTAATAGATGGCTGGGCAATGTTATTAAAATACTCCTTTAGATGTGATACTTTGATAAGAACTTTTGTTGTCACTAATAATCCTTTTCTATTTAATAATGATAGCTAACATCTGCTGAGTGCTTTCTCTATGCCAATTACTGTTGTAAGAGCTTTACATAATTAAATCACATTAACTCTGTTATCATTCCTGTTTTCCACATAAGGAAACTGGGGCATGACGCAGCTAAATAATTTCCCCAAGATAATGCATGTATATATTAAATATATCCATATATATTTAATTTATACAATATAATGTTCCTCACTATGGTTCCTCTCTAGTTCCCTGTGACAGAAACAAGCTTATTTGCAGAGCATTTGGGGAGGGATGTGGTGCTTTGCAGGAGCTGGGGAAAGCTGACTCTCGGTGCATATGAAAGTAATGCGTTTGAGGGAGAGGGGGGCAGAAGAGCATGCGTTGGGAGGGTATTGGTTAACAGCAAGAGATCCAGAAACAGAAAAACCAGGATCCATTGAAGCTGGGCCCTACAGAGGGAAATGGCCAAGTGAGAAGAAGATGGAGTGCCCATGATGGACGTTGTGGGAAAGAGAAATTTAGTAAGGAGACTTCCTGAGTTACTCATTGTATGGTGTACAGTGTAAACCTTCTGTTCTCTATGAAATCTTCAGTAAATTTTACATTGATTACTAATACTTTGTGTCAGAGAGCCGAGTATTCTTTAACGTGGGGAACTCAGAGACAATGATAGAATATTACCAGTCAACTGCATTATAAACTGAAATGTTCCCACNAAGATGGAGTGCCCATGATGGACGTTGTGGGAAAGAGAAATTTAGTAAGGGGACTTCCTGAGTTACTCATTGTATGGTGTGCAGTGTAAACCTCCTGTTCTCTATGAAATCTTCAGTAAATTTTACATTGATTACTAATACTTTGTGTCAGAGAGCCGAGTATTCTTTAATGTGGGGAACTCAAAGACAATGACAGAACATCACCAGTCAACTGCGTTATAAACTGAAATGTTCCCATGGATTCTCAAAGGCAAAAGATATCAATGTCTTAAATCAATCTATTAATTTCTTACGAGCTTGGAAAGATCTTCCACAGCAAATCAGCTCAGAAAGCATTGTCTCTGGTGTGGTTGAGAGAGGAGAGAGAAGAGATTGGGCAGGATAATTAAAAGAAACATTNTTTTACATTGATTACTAATACTTTGTGTCAGAGAGCCGAGTATTCTTTAATGTGGGGAACTCAAAGACAATGACAGAACATCACCAGTCAACTGCGTTATAAACTGAAATGTTCCCATGGATTCTCAAAGGCAAAAGATATCAATGTCTTAAATCAATCTATTAATTTCTTACGAGGAGCTTGGAAGGACCTTCCACAGCAAATCAGCTCAGAAAGCAGTCTCTGGTGTTGTTCTTGAGAGAGGAGAGAGATTGGGGAGGATAATTAAGAAACATCCTCTGCCCTTGAGGTTTACAGTCTTACCAAATCCTAATGTCACCCTTTTAAGTGAATATCCCTGTAAGTGCTGAACTCATTTATTAGTTATAATAGTTGTTTTAAATATTTTTATTGATTTCAGAGAGAGGAAGGGAGAGAGAGA